AAAGTGAGTCTGATGATTAATTGTGAATCATTAACAGCACAGAGGTAACTTCCTCCATCCTCTTCAGTCAGGTGTGATATGAGTAGAGAGAGATTTCCTGGAGAGTGACCATTAACCAGCTGAACTCTGTTTCTGTACTGACCACTCTCAAGGGACATATCTTCCCATTTATTTGTGTTTCTGTTGTCTTTTCTCCAGACCAATCCCTCAGGTGTGGTGTGTAGCTCAGTGCAGTACCAGGGCAGCAGTGCTGACCCTCCTGTATGTGCAGTGATAGGCAATGGTGATCCACTGTTTGCATCTAGAGTGCAGGCTGCAGAAACAAACATCAGAAAGATCAAATTTATTGTAACTCTTTTTATAAAATCATGATAACAGTTTTTTTTTTTATATTTTAAGAATGTAATTTCAACCCATAGTTCCAGATAATTAGCACTTTTTTAAACTCTTTTCTAAACTCAAATCTTCTTTATAAACAAAGAAAGCGATACAGAAACAGATGAATATAAAGCATATCATTACTGTCCTTTATATCATGTAAAAAATTCAGAATAAATGGACCAGCAGAAGTGATTCCAAATGACATGCAGAAACAAACAAACAAAAAAAAAAAACGTTACTTTGACTTATATAAAAATGAAGTGTTTTGTTTGCTTGTTTGTTTTCCAGAGCAACATATACGTACACAAAACGCTGTTTGAATATATTACATGCTTAATGTCAAAATGCAACTCTGCTAATCACAATTTTTTTCATAAATTTGCATAATGTCAGTAACTCAGTAACACAATTAAAAAATGTCACTCACCTTCAGAGACATGAAGCCCAATGAAGAGAAGATAAAAAGTCAGCAACATTCTCACTAGTAAAACAACACTGAGTTCACAGCACACTGACAGCTCCACACCCAGCACTACACTAGCCCTGTATACCACACTGAGTACACAGCTCTCTCAGCAGCTCTTCACTGGAGTCTAACCCACTCTAATGTCCGTGCAGCTCACAGGAGCTGTGTTTAAATCAGCTAGACCGGAACTCTTCTGTCTTTTAGAGACTTTATCAGCAGCTTCTTCAGAATCACAAACCACACACAGCAACTGGTAGCTCCTCCGCTTCTTCATGATGCACTTCATGATACAGGTTGTGCATCAGCTTTTGTATTAAATTCATTTTGAAGTGCATTAGGAACTGCATTATATATATATATATATATATATATATATATATATATATATATATATATATATATATGTGTGTGTGTGTGTGTGTGTGTGTATACAAGAACTTTTTATATATGGATATGTTGCCATTTCTCAGCAGTCTTTTATTAATTTGTACTTATAATTTACAATCTCGTGTTTCAAAATTGTTTAAAGTAGTTCTCACACTTTGATGGTTAATAGCATGAGAACTACAACCATGTCTCATGTGCTTTTCTGCATCTTGTTTTTTTTGTTGTTTTTTTTTTTTTTCTCTGTGGTCTGGTTTGTTGTTCTCTCTGGCCTTTTTATGGTAATGACGTGACCTCATGGTTATGAATCATCTATGTGGTCTACATCTCTAAGTTCAAGTAGCTAGAAGAGTATCAAGTGTGGCTGCTGCTGGGAGGAGGGGCTGAGCTAAGCTGACTGTAAACCGCATGAGACCTCAGAGACACAAACACCAGAGTGACCCAGAGTGCGTTATTTACTCAAATGTGAATGCACATATGAAAAAAAACGTCTATTTGAAGTTTTACTTATTTCAGTCTTTTTTTAGAGGTCTTCTCACTGTCTCTCCTTTTCTTTGTCTGTCTACATGTGTATTCAAAAAAAGTATAGAGAAGAATATGTGACATTGTGGGATTGATTTTCATTCAAATGCCTTGGAAACTCCATGAGGTAATAGAAGATTTTAATAAAATAAATACGTCTGCTCCTGCAAAAACCTGAATCTGGGTAATGACAAGAGCCCAAACCCATTTCTTATTTTTACCCCTACCCCTCATCTTGCCCCTTGGAGTTGAGTTACAAGTGGTAGTACGGGTGTGGGAAAAATAGATTCTTAGATGCATCGCGATGCGGACGTGAATGATTCTGAATTGATTCACAAATGTCAAAAATCAATTTTCTAAATATTTAATTTATAACATAATGTTGACGGAATGCAAAAGGCGGAAGCTGGAAGTGCAGCGGCTGGACAGTCTGTGGCGGCACATGGATGAGTGAGAAATCCGACAGGCTCCCTCTGCATTAAAAGCCAGGTTAGATCAGAAGTGACAACACAAATGATAAGAAGAGCAAAAATCAAACCACCTTGGCAGCCACAACATTTAATGTCCAGTATGTCTCAGTATGTGTTAATGTCCTGCTATAAGTTATGTTAAAAATATAAATGAAAACACTGACTTACTTTGCTCTGCTTTAAGCTTTAGCTGTAGCCGCTTTCCTCCCATCTCCGCGAGAAAACTTTTCCTCTAAAGTAGATCAGTTTCTCGTAAAATGTCTCTCAAAGTTCATTTGTTTTACAAGGCTGAAGTCACTTCTTGAAGTCGCTTCATCTTCTTGTTCGAATGTTTCTGTTCCACCTTGCAATTCTGACTGAGGCGCCGAGTGTAAATGTGGCACGATTTAAGGTGGAACGGGAAAATTTGAAAGAGAAGCGACTTCATCTTTGCAACTTTTTAGTGTTTGACAGTCTCTTGTTGCAGATTTAGCTTGCAAGTAAACCAACTGCAGCGCTTATGAATGCGAATAACGCATCGTTGCTAGGTGACCTGCAGTCTGAACGCCAGCACTCAGTCGTTGCGAAACAGGGCTTTCGTGCTGTTACACAAGTCCCGAAGATATTTTACTGACACAGCGATCCTACTGACACTTCATCCTTCCCCTCTCTTTCAACACAAATCGGGACACCCTACCCCTAGATGTAAATGTGCTAATTAAATCAAATTAGACTAAAATTTTGATTTCGCTCATAATTTCATGACTTTTAAATGTATCTGTTTATTTCATTTCAGTTAAGGCAATCAAATATACAGAACGCAGTAGTATACTCAAAATAACAAAGTGCTTTCAGGAAGGCACAACACAGGGAAACAATAAAGTAAGAAACAATAAAGTAAGTTAACTTTTTAAGCATTATATGCTTTCCATATAATCCCCACCAAAACATATCATCCACCTCACACTAAACAGACTGTCCACCAGGTAATGTGGCTGTCCAGCTCAGCATCACCTGCAGTGGCTGGCCTGAGAAGCCTTGTAGCTGCATTGTATCATAGCTCTTGATGCTGTCCCATGCAGTCTCATAGTTGGGGTGTAGCTTAGCACTAGCAGCTTTTTGCTGTGGTGTCATGTAGCTCATGCATCCAGCCCAGAAAGCGTTGTAGCCTTATAAGAGTTCTTAGCCATATAGGAAGCTCCCAGTTAGCCTCATAACTGTGAGGGTGATGTCACTTAAGCAGCCAGCCAAAGAAACCCCTAAGCCACAAGAGAAAGTCATTTTATCTCAGCCGACATGTGGATCATTTCTTTTGTGTATTTCATGGTAATGGTATCATTCGCACTAAGATGTATATCATGCCCAGTATAGTGCCCAGTTGTTAACAGCAGCTGTCAGTGTCAGTGATTGTGCAGCAACAGATGGACTACAGTCTACAATGCTAAACCTACAGAAAAGTGCATCTGTATGGTAGATGCTTGTGAGTACGACTATTTTATTTGGTGTTTCTGTTATTTATAAATAAAATATATATATATATATATATATATATATATATATATAGAGAGAGAGAGAGAGAGAGAGAGAGAGATATTGAAGAAAGTTAACGAAATTTACAAAAACCACTTGCGTGCTAAAAGGCTTCTTTGCACAGTGAAATTATTCTTCAGATTGCTGTGTGACTTCTATACTGATTACAAAACAGAGGAGAGATGCACTAAGCCACCACCAGGGGGAGTCGCTTACAAAAGGGAGACATACAGGAGGAAGTGTGGTGCTTTGCTTCTGCTGTGGCTTCCGTTGTGTTTCCGGTTTCTGGTTAACTGACAAGTCATTTGAATGAGCTCCTGCTATAGAGCTGTGCCTGTGTAAGGGCTTGAGTGTTAATGTATAGCTTATAGGTGCTTTATTGTTTAGGATGAGATTTTCATAAAGAGAGCCTATATTGTAGCACTTTTATAGAAGTATACTGTAAACACTGAGCTAATGTGGCTGTTCTGAGACATAGCTCTTGTATATTATCTCTCTTATTGGAGAGAGAGGGTTATTTTTGTTGCCTTTGTTTTCTCCTGGTTTGCTTTAGCTAGGAAGTTAGAAATTGTATTTGCTTTTCTTTTGTTTGTGAGGTGAGTTAAATTTCCCTAAATCAAAGTTAGCTTTGTTTTGTTTGTTATTTTTCTCTCTTTTTTCTAGGTTGCAGCCCGACTAGGTCTTATAGCCTTGTAGAAGAGGGGGGGGAGACTGTAAAGGATGGCGCAATGAGCAATGCAATCACTCGGCATATAAAAATTGTGGACTCAATTTTCATTCTAACAACAGTAATGTAGGAATAAAGTCCTTGGGTAAGACTGTAAGCACTGTACCACTACAAGTTTCTATATTCAGAATCCAGGACAAGCTAAGGAAGAACTATCACCTACCAGTTTTCCCAATTTTTAGATAACTAGGCCATAAAACTTAATGAGTCTACGTTTATGCATTATACTTCACCAGGCTGAACTGAACATTTTACTTCACTAATCTGAATAGAGTTTTACAGATGTCTGATCAACATGACAGAAAAAAAGATGTTCAGGTTTGAGATAAAATGCATTAATTTGATAACTGCTTTTCATTGTGCTGCATTTTGATTGTGATGTATATTGTGCCACAGTAGATCTGCAAATTAGCTCATTCAAAAAAAACAAGTTGATTAAAAATGACAAGTCAATGAATGTTTAGCTGTAGCTTTATTTATTAAAATATTGATGTATTTGTGAATTTGAAAAGAAAAAAACATTTTGATGCGGTGAGTGGTGTTACTGGTTTAATCTGATGATGGCATATTCTGCCTTTTCTTCGACATCAGAAACTGTAGTTGTTGCAGTTGTGTTACTGTGGACTATAGTAGAGTACATCACTTCATCCTGTAGAAGAGCACAAATGTTAATTAACACACAACACTGACCCTTTAAAACCCTTCAGAGTTTGACTTAAACTACAAGGAGCAGCTTCTTCCTCAGTAGGAATAGGACATACAGATATGCACTGAGTGCCAGTTTATCAGGTAAACTCACTCACACTCACTCACACTGTACCTTCATCGATTAGTGAGCATGCGGACACAAACAGCTTGAGGATCAGAGGGGTCAAAGGAAAATGTTGAGAACTCAACAGGGTTTGTCTCAAATGGGCTTTAACTATCCAAGCCCAAACTGGCATCCAAGTTACTTTTGTATCATGCACTTTAGTATATTAATGCACCATGTCACAAAGCATGAACTGTCACCAAAGTCTTCCAGGAACATGCAAGTGATTTTACCAGCATCTTGTAGAATCCGTGACCAGAATGTATGTAATATCTAATGTTGGAACTGAGTGCATATCTTCCGAACTCACGGAAATGCAGCTGAAAGAGAAATTTTAAAAAGAACACTGTAGTGCTTACATCGTATGCCGTTATACCCCTAAACATATCATATTCCACTGACAAGTGCTATTTTGATATTGGCACTAGTGTTCTTTTTAAAATTTCTCTTTCAGCTGCGTTTCCACGGGTTAGGAAGATATAGTTCCAATTTCTCTTAGGAAAGATGGGAACATGACTAGATATGATTAGATAAGATGGGATAGGATGGAATGTGATGGTATCGGAAGAAATGTGATGGTATCGGACGAAATGTGATGAGACATGTTGGGATGTAAGAACTCGCCTGTGTTTTGTGCTCTGTCTTCATCTTTCCTAGCTCTTGGCTCTCTGTCTGCCCTCGACTCTGTCCTACAGAATGAACCCAGACAGAGTGAGATACAGATTTTGCACATATCTCAAAAGAGTGTGTACTAGTCTCTCTTTCTCTCTCTCTCTTTCTGTACCTCTGTATCTCCAGTAGATGACTCCTCCAAGTCCTAGCAGGAGAAGAAGAACAGGAATACAAATGAAGAAATAAATGGAATAATCTGTGTAAAGAAAGAAATTACACTGCTAAAGTTAGCATATTTGTACATATGTGTATGTGTGTGTGTGTGAGAGAGAGAGGAAGATAGAGTACCAGAATATATTTCTGTTGTTGGAAGAAAACCTCATATTTCCTACTTTACTTTTAATGTAAGACAGTGGAACCAGACTTGGAAAGAAGTCATTTTGTGTCATTTCTTTTGGCCTGTTCATCATGAAATTTACACACAATGTAAAGAGTAACAGGTAAGTAACAGTTGCTTTCAAGTTATGTCAAAAACTGAAAAACGTCAAAAATGGAGTACACCAGTATCACGCAATGATTTTTTTTTTTTTTACTGTGCAATGCAACACAACTGAATACTCAAACACACACACAAAAAAAAAGACAAAGCTGTAACATTCTGCTTTCAGCTGCAGTCTGTACTTACTATTAGATGCTTGAGATAAATGTGTGGTTGAAGTGGTTGGATTGGTGGGTACACTGACCCTTGCAGCAGATGTTGTAGTTTTAGGTGGACCCTCTGTAGAGAGAGAAGAGTTTGATAGTCAGTGCAGGAACAGAACAGCAGCAAACAGCTAACTGTAGATACACAGTAACATTAACACCTTTTTTAAAAGCCTTCATTAAAATGTACATATAATAATCCATAGACATTAATTCAATGTGACTACAGGACAATACAGCTGAACATGAACCTTTTTATGTATTTTTTTTATGTATGTTTCCCAATACACATGGACACACAAAAACACAAGCATAAACTTTCAACATAAGACTGATAAAATACATAAATAAATAAAAGATGGACTAAAGTACATACAGTAATGACAGGGTGAGGCTCTTGCAGAGATAATAAAGGCAATAAAGAGCAAGAAAGACATACACAAAAAAATTAAGTAGCCCTGGTAAAATAATGTTTTCTTGATTTTAGTTAATTCAGGTTTATTTATATATAGTTTTTTACAACAGACATCGTGACAAAGCAGATTTACAGAAAAATCCAGGCCAGAGCCCCCAAGAGCAAGCCGGTGGTGACAGTGGCAAGGGAAAAACTCCTTAAGAGCAAGAGGATGAAACAAAGTGAGGAACGAAGAATGAAAAGGGGAACTCGTCCTCCTCTGGTCAACACCGGATGGCAAAACAAAAAAAGCAGAGAATGAGATTTGACCATTAGTATAAGATATGAAAAAGGGAACAAAAGAAGAAGCAATGTCTATGATTAAAAAATGCAGCAGGATCATCAGATTTGAAATGTAATAAGAATAAAAACTGAGACAGTGTTTTACCTTTTACAGTCAGTCTGATGACTAAATGTGCACCTTTAACAGAGCACTCATAATCTCCTCCATCCTCTTTAGTCAGGTGTGATATGAGTAGAGAGAGATTTCCTGGAGAGTGACCATTACCCAGCTGAACTCTGTTTCTGTACTGACCACTCTCACTGGATATCTCTTCTCGTGTTTGTGTGTATGCGTTGTCTTTCTTCCAGCTGAATTCCTCAGGTGTGGTGTGTAGGTCAGTGCAGTAGCAGGCCAGCAGTACTGACCCTCCTGTATGAGCTGTGATACTCAGTAGTTTCTCTCTGTTCACCAGAGTGCAGCCTGTAAAAACACACATCAGTAAGAATAGATTATATAGTCTTTTTTAACACTTTTATTTTACCCACACATTTTAATGAAAATCAAAAAACAAATCTTACTTATAACTAAATTACATACACATGTTGTTGCTGTCCTTTATATATTTGAAACATTTCAGAATGAATAGACCAACAGAAATGGTCAATAATGACATGGAACAATTCTCATTATCCTTACATTAAAAGTAAAGAATATTTTTTGCCTTCTTCTGTAAAGTTACCATTTTAAAGATTTATTCACAGCAACATACATGAACATATATGTAAACATAATGCTGTTTTGAGTATATTACATGTCTAGTGTCAAAAATGCAACTTATGCTAAATGTAATTTTTGTCTGACACATAAATTTAGATTTGATTGACATCAGTAACAGTAAAAACATCACTCACCTTCAGAGACATGAAGCCCAATGAAGAGAAGATAAAAAGTCAGCAACATTCTCACTAGTAAAACAACACTGAGTTCACAGCACACTGACAGCTCCACACCCAGCACTACACTAGCCCTGTATACCACACTGAGTACACAGCTCTCTCAGCAGCTCTTCACTGGAGTCTAACCCACTCTAATGTCCGTGCAGCTCACAGGAGCTGTGTTTAAATCAGCTAGACCGGAAATCTTCTTTCTTTTAGAGATTGTATCAGCAGCTTCTTCAGAATCAGAAACTATGTACAATGACATTGTGGAGTCGTGAGAACACTTACTGTTTCCTCTTTGTGGTGAAGCATTTCACAACACAAAAGTGGGAACCAACCAAATAAAGAGAAGTCACACGCACCACTTTGTCTTTCTGATATGATCTCAATATAGAGCCGACTGTCTTTAGCTTTTATTTTATGTCTTAGGTTGCTTTCACATTATATACCTTGAACTGTCATATACCACTATATCCATTAACAGTCTAGAGTCCTGCTGGTATTCTCAGAGAGCTGTTACACGTATGCTCCACTGGTAGTTCCTCTGCTTTCTTGCAGTCCTCCATACTGCCTGGCACACCATGATGCAGTTTGTGCAGTCAGATTTATATCTGCTCTGGTTTTAATAGTATGCTTGTGTTTTTTGATCATTCCAGTCCATGGTAGTTCATAAATTCGCCCCTGTCGACGGTGTTAAATGCTAATGTGAATGACGGTGCTAATGTAAAAAACCTCAGCAACTTAGTATCTAGGGTTCTTTCCTTTTAATTATTTGGCCAAAACATGAGAGGAGAACTGGAAGCACTTTCCTTTAACTCTGACCTTCTGACCTTTCTTTATGAAAAATAGCTGCTGAAGAGGTGACCTAGGAGTGGTTTTTACCAGACATATCTTGATAAATAATAAAACATGAACATCAAGGAGCTGAACTGAGATGTGAACTTGAAGGGTTTCCTTCCAAAATGCATTATAGACCACTCTGTGATTTCCATTATACATCATCTGTCATTATCTCTAAAAAAACTTGCTATGTACAAAATTGTTACAAACAGATAAATAGCCTTTTCTCTGAAGATGTGGTAAATGTAGTCTTTCATGGGCCTTTATCTCTGGACATGGTATTTTCACCAATTTCACCAGTTTTCAGACCTTTGTCTTTTATTAAGAATTAATTTTGACTTTGATTGAAATGGATCCCTGACGTCTCATTCCCCCCTATTTGGCTATAGGAGTTAACTGTTTCATTTACTAATTAGTGGTAAAATGCATGAATCAGTAAATGGATTAAATTGAAATGAATGATCATCAGTAATCTCCAATCACATAAACAAACCAACAGTAACTACATAAGCGAGGCTAAAGCTGGCTTCTTATTTGTAGCTATGGACAGCTTTGTTGTCATTCCATCTGTGTACAAGTACACAGTAGAGTGAAATTACGTTCCTCCAGGACCAACATGGTGCAACATGGAACAAAATAGACAGTACACACAAAGTGCAAATGTGCAGCCATAAGTGAGCAAAACATTAAACTAGAAACAAGTACGATAAATAAAACAGACAATAGACACAGTAAACAGACAGGACAGTGCAGCGCTGACACAGCACTCATTTCTGAACATGAGGTAGTGAAGATAAGGTGCACATATTTAACATGCTATGATATGGATATATGCAGTCCGATCATGACACACGTGAGCGCAGCAGTGAAAAAAGTCCATGTGAGGGATGGATGGGGTCGTGCACAATGCTGGTGGCCTTGCAGATGCAGCATGTGGTGTAAATGTCCATGATGGAGGGGAGAGAGACTCCGATCATCTTCTCAGCTGTCCTCACTATTCGCTGTAGGGTCTTGCAGTCAGAGGCGGTTCAATTTCCAAACCAGGCGATGATCCAGCTGCTCAAAATGCTCTCCACAGTCCCCCTGTAGAACATGGTGAGGATGGGAGGGGGGAGATGAGCTTTCTTCAGGCTCCACAGGAAGTAGAGGCGCTGCTGGGCTCTCTTGGAAATGGAGTTGGTGTTGAAGGACCAGGTGAGGTTCTCTGTGATGTGAACACTGAGAAACTTGGTGCTCCTGACAATTTCCGCAGCAAAGCCATTAATGTTTAGTGGGGGGTGGTCACCTCACACTCTTCGGAAGTCAACAACCATCTCCTTAGTTTTCTCCACATTCAGACAGAGACTGTTGGTCCTGCACCAGTCCGTTAGCCGCTGCACCTCCTTTCTGTACGCTGACTCATTATTCTTGCTGATCAGACCCACCACAGTCGTGTCATCAGCAAACTTGATGATGTGGTTTGAGCTGTACTTTGCAGTACAGTCGTGAGTCAGCAGAGTGAACAGCAGTGGACTAAGCACACAGCCCTGGGGGGTGCCGGTGCTCAGTATGGTGGTGCTGGAGATGTTGTTGCCAATCCTGACTAATTGCGGTCTCTCAGTCAGGAAATCCAGGAAACAGTTACAGAGGGAGGAGTTCAGGCCCAGCAGGCTCAGCTTTCCAATCAGGTGCTGAGGGCTGATGGTGTTGAATGCTGAACTAAAGTCTATGAACAGCATTCTGACATAGGTGTCTCTATTGTCCAGGTGGGTGAGAGCCAGGTGGAGTGTGGTGGAGATGGCATCGTCTGTTGAGCAGTTGGGGCGATATGAAAATTGCAGTGGGTCCAGTGAAGGGGGGAGCTAGTCTTTGATGTGCCTCATGACAAGCCTTTTGAAGCACTTCATGATGATTGGAGTGAGTGCAACAAGATGGTAGTCATTGAGGCAGGACACTGGAGACTTCTTTGGTACAGGGATGATGGTGGTGGACTTTGGAACACATTGGAATGACTGCAGCACTCAGAGAGATGTTCAATATGTCCGTGAGAAAACAGCTGTCTGATCCTGGGGCTTTTCTTGAGTTGACTCCGTGTAGAGTTCTCCGCACATCAGCAGTGGACAGACAAAGTATCTGTTCATTTGGAGGAGGTGTGGTGTAGTTGGTGATGGCCTGGATACCCTGCCACATGCGCCATGTGCCAGCAGTGTCTTGAAAATGTTAATGGATTTTCTTTGTGTAGACGCGATCTGCCCCTCTGATGGCTTGGGAAATCTTGGCTCTTGCTGTTCTGAGGCCTGCCTTATCCCCTGACTTGAAGGCCTTATCGTGGGTTCTCAGCAGCATGTGCACCTCTGCAGTCATCCATGGCTTCTGGTTGGGGTGAGTTGTGATGAGTTTGGAGACAGTAACATCATCAATGCACTCGCTGATGTAGCCAGTCACTGATTCTGTGTAATCCTCCAGGTTGCTACATCTCTGAACATGCCCCAATCAGTGTGCTCCAAACAGTCCTGAAGAGCAGAGATAGCTCCTGGCGGCCAGGTTCTCACTTGCTTCTGGTCCAGTTTGGCATGTCTGATGAGTGGTCTCTATGCTGGAGTGAGCATCACAGAGATGTGATCTGAGTAGCCGTAGTAGGGGTGGGGCTCGCGCCGGGGATGTTTGTGTAAACAAGATCCAGCACGTTAGCACCCCGGGTTGCAAAGTCCACATATTGGTGGAATTTAGGGAGCACTTACTTCAGACAAGCATGGTTGAAATCTCCAGTGACAATATTCAGTCCGTCTGGGTGTGTGTTTTGGAGATCATTGATAGCGCTGTACAGCTCGTTCAGTGTGGCGTTAGCATAAGCCTTGGGAGCTATGTACACTGCTGATATGTACACTGTAGTCAGCTCTCTTGGCAAATAAAAAGGCCTGGCTCTGACAATCACAAACTTCACCAGCGGTGAGCAGGGACTAAAGACTAGCACTGCATTTTTGCATGTGGAGTCAGCCTTTAGCCTAGCATGCACCCCGGCTCACTTGACTAAATGAGTGATGTAAATGATCAAAAGCACAGCTTTCGCTACTCTGTAAAGCATGAATAAATATGATAAACTCATTAACTGTTGAGTTCTAGGAGTGATTTTTGCATTCATTTTCAGTTCCACTTTGGTGAACCTACATATAAAAATGTGTAGAACTTAAAAAAAAATAAATAAATAAATACTGTGGATTTTTTTTATTTGTTTTTGTCAGTTTTGGGTCCTTTTCAGAAAAGTCATAAAACTTCAAGGAAAAATGTTGGTCTTTACTGCCTCTAAGTTTTAAAAGGTAAGAATGTAAGAATATAAGAATATACAGTAAATGTTTTCAATTTCTTAACATTGTTTCATTTACATTTGTTCAAAATAAACCTGTTTTTCCACCCATATGTTGATGTTGATTTTTCATGTTTTTTATATTTTATTACAAAAAAAACAAAAAAAACAGATAGCACTATTATTTATAAGTATGATCTAGCAGAGGTAAATGATAAATATCAACCATATATGCTGTCTTTATTGCTCACAAACATTGGCTGAGTAACCAAAACATGAACACCACACAAGGGTTAAATTTAGTTGTTTTAATGTTCTCATTGATTCCGTGTTGAATTATGGCCAAAAACATTGATTTATGGTCAGTGTTGAATAATCAACATCGAACCAATAGGGATATTTAAAATTATGTATTTTGGACCAAGAAATTTTAAAGAACCATTTACTTGCTAAAAGGGTTCTTTGCATGGTGAAATCGTTCTTCAGATTGATGAAGAATGTGTTGTGTATGGTTCTATGCAGAACCTTTCTGAAAAGGAATCTATTTAGCGACAGAAAGAGTTTTTCTATTTTTACATTGTGTTATGACCCTGTGGGTCATGTTTTTGGAGTGTGTCTTCTTCTGTATTGACAGAACAGAGGGGAGATGCACAAAGCCACCACCAGGGGGAGCCGCCTATAAAATGGAGATGTCCAGGAGGAAGTGCGGTGCTTTTCTTCTGCCGTGGCTTCCGTTGCATTCCCGGTTCCCTGACAAGTCATTTGAATGAGCTTCTGCTATAGAGCTGCAGTCTGTGTAAAAGCTTCAGTAATAGTGTATGGCTTATAGGTGCTTTGTTGCTTGGGATGAGATTTTCATAAAGGGAGCCTATGTTGTAGCACTTTTATAGAAGTATACTGTAAACACTGAGCTAATGTGGCTGCTCAGAGACATAGCTCTTATATATAATCTTTATAGGGTTATTTTTGTTACCTTTGTTTACTCCTGGTTTGCTTTAGTTAAGTTACATTAGAAAATCTATTTGTGTTTGTGAGGTGAGTTAAATTTCCCTAAAACTCAGTTAGCTTTGTTGTGTTTGTTAATTTTTCCTTTTCCTCCCGTAATGTTCCATTTATTCTCATTTTCTAAAGAGAGAACTCTGCCTAAGTCCTTGAACTACTAAAGAAAATAAAACCAATTTGTTATTAGAGCAAAATTGGTTGTACGTATGTGTGAGTTGGAGAACCAGGAGGTTAAAGTCCTTCAGTAATACTCCAAGCACTGGACCACTGCAAGTTACTGGATTAAGAATCCAGGACAAGGTTAGGAACAACTGCTTTAGTTGACCTACCATTCCTTTTTGCCTATTTTTAGCTAGCCATAAAATGTAATGAGTCTACATTTATGCATTTTACTTCACCAGGTTGAACTGAACATTGTACTAAACCAGATCGGACCAATGATGGACATTAGGTCAGAAGTTTTAAGGGAGAAAATGAACAAGGTATCAAGAAAAATGCATAACATGAAGAAAAACAACAGCCTACAAAGTAACAGAGGCTAGGCTACGATATGCTGTGCTGAGCTATGGCTATGAGCATAAGCAAAAATACAGGAAGAGAGACTGCTGGTGAAAGCTAAAGGCTCAAAATTCCTTCAGATAGAGGACCAATCAGAACAGAGGATTTTGTTTACAGCTGTCTGACCAACATGACAGAAAAGAAGATGTTCAGGTTTGAGATAAAAATGTATTGGTATAATAACTTGCTTTCATTAAGCTGCATTTTGCTTGTGATGTAGCTCATTCAAAAAACAAATTGATGAAAAATGACAAGTCAATGAATGTTTAGCTGCAGCTTTATTTATACATATATATGAGTAAAACTAAGAAAAGGAAAAATCACGAAAAAAAAATACATTTTTTTTTATTTCGGTTAGAGGTGTTGCTAGTTTACTCTGATGGTGGCGTATTCTGCTTTTTCTTCAATGTCAGTGACTGTGGTTGTTGTTGTGGGTGTAACTACATTACAGTACACCACTTCATCCTGTAGAGGAATCACAAATGTTAATTAATACACAACACTGACCCTTTAAAACCACTTCAGAGTTTGACTTAAACTACCAGGAGCAGCTTCTTCCTCAGTAGGAGTTAACTGGGTAAACTCACTCACATTCACTCACACTGTACATTCATTGATCAGTGATGATATGGACAAAAACAGCTTGAGGATCAGAGAGGTTATAGGAGAACACTAAGAACTTAACAGAGTTTGTCTCGAATGAGTTCTAACATTCAAAGCCCATGTTAGCAGGAAATGATGTAAAGCAAATAACAACAAGGTGGGCACAGGACCATTAAAAATGAACCACTTAGAAACTGAATAAGTTTTATAATCAAACAAACCCAGTTTCCTGTTGCTTCATGCACTTCAGCAAATGAATGCATCATGTCACAAAGCTTGAATTGTCACCAAAAGGTGCAAGTGAGTTTTTAACATCTTGTAGAAGTTATGACCAGAATGTATAACACAGTCCTATTAAAGTGGCATCTCAGTGTAATATTGGGATTGAGTACATATCTTCCTAACTGACGGAAATGCAGGTGAAAGAAATATGTGGACAGTGAATAGAACATTGTAGAGCTAATTTAAAATGATATTTGTCAGTGGAATATGATAACATTTAGGGATATAATGGCACATGTAATGTGACAAGATATGATGGGTTATGATGGGACATGATTGAATATGATTAGATGTGATGGGATATGATAGTATATGACTGAATGTGATGAGATATGATGGAATATGATGGGATAGGAAGAGATGTGATGAGACATGTTGGGATGTATGAACTCACCTGTTTTTTCTGCTCTGTGTTTGTCCTTGTTTGCTCTCGACTCCATCCTGCAAAATGAACCCAGACAGAGTGAGACACAGATATTGAACATATCTCAAAATAGTGTGTACTAGTGTGTGTGTGTGTGTGTGTGTGTGTGTGTGTGTGTGTGTGTGCGTGTGTGTGTACCTCTGTATCTGCAGTAGATGGCTCCTCCAAGTCCCAACAGAAGAATAAGTACAGGAATCAAGATAAAGAAATGCATGGAATCACCTGTGTCTAGAAAGAAATTAGTAAGTTTGAATATGTGTAAATATGTGTGTGTGTGTGTGTGTGTGTGTGAGAGAGAGAGAGAGAGAGAGAGAGTAGTTGTAGAATATATGCTTGATACAGCAGTATCACACAAAAAAATCACATTTTTAACTGTGCAACACAACTGAACATTTAGAAAGGTTGTGATTATTTTGAACAACATTCAGAGAACATAAACAATCACCACATAAACATGACAAAGCTGTAACATTTAGCTTTCAGCTGCAGTCAGTGTGCTGTACTTACTATTAGTCCCTTGGGATGAATGTGTGCGTGAAGTGGTTGGACTGGTGTGCACATTGACCACTGCAGTAGATGTTGTAGGTTTAGGTGGACCCTCTGTAGAGAGAGAAGAGTTTAATAGTCAGTGCAGGAACAGAACAACAAACAGTAAACAGTCACTCGAATATCAATGTTAATCTATAGACATTAATTCCGTGTGACAATAGAAGGTGATTAAAGCTAAACAGCAGAGACACGTATAATAAATATCTTACAGATTTCCAGCTGGATCAGGTTAAATTTTAGTTTTGAGATGATAGTATGAATATTGAAGCAAACATAATAAACCCAGTCATCCATGTGATGTAAAACAACATGAGAGTCATTGAAACAGGTGACCTTCTTCTATTGCTTCAAAGTCCAGTTTAAATTTTTATTGTAGGCAGTTTCAGTGGTGGACAGAAGTTAGCATGGGGTCTCTGACCAGTCAACGGTTATGTAGCACTATATACAGCAGGGTGCAGACAGGATAGTGTTTGTCACCCTTGCACATCACTAAACCATGGCTGCACACCCACCTGTTGCCGGTTCATGGCAACAAATCGACCATGAGAACTGATCATTTGCTCAGCATCTAATATGTTCTAGACCTTGACACACATCACTGCTATGAGATAATCAACATTATTCAGTTCATCATGTGGTCATAATACTTTGATTCACTGTACTTATTATGTGTTTAATGGATTTTGTAGTTTGACTTTAACTGTATTGAGAAAAGAGACAGACTTGGATGTTTAGCAGAAAGTACATTAATGTGCACACACACACAAAAAAGAGGGAAAGTTTGAGACAGAACATTCATCACAACAGTGATAAACAAATAAATACATGAAATCTCATGGAGAAACATGAGATAATAAACAGAGCTAACAAGACATACAATCATGTGCAGTTTGAAAACCCCTGACCAAAAGACATGTGAAAATGAGACGTGACAAAGTGAAAATAAGTCACAGAACAATCTTAAATATGACATCTTCTGCACATTTTAGTTTAACATATGGAAAGAATATATGATTTGGCCAAAGTCACTCAGCTCTTCACACCCGTCTTTTTTCTCCACATCCAACCGGAATTTTTCATTTCATGTTTAATTCCTCAATATTTTAAATTCCCAAATAAGCAGTAACTTTGCCTTAAAATGTGCAGAAACTGAAAAATTTTCCAAAAATACAAAAAGCAGCAACATCTTAAGTTCAGCTGCAGTCTGTGTGCTGTGCTTACCATCAGGCTTTTGATACGGTTGTGTCGTTGAAGAAGTGTGTACATTGACCACTGCAGTAGGTGTTGTAGATTTAGGGGGACCCTCTGTAGAGAGAGAAGAATTTAACCATCAGTGCAGAAACAGAGCAACAGCAAACAGCTCACTGTAGATACACAGTAACATGAATACCTTTTAACCAGAACAGGGTTAAATAAAATATACATAAAATAATCCTTAGACATCAATTCAATGTGACTAACAGACAAAACAGCTAAACAGCAGAGAGAGGTTTTAACACTTACCTAAAAAAGCATCAGTTAGATTAAATTAAATTTAGCTTTGAGACTAAATAAGTTATGTTCTGTATTATTGTTTTAGAAACGGTATAAAGAAGAAACAAAGTGATCTATATGTTTAGGAAGAATGTAATAGTTTCAGCCTTGGTTCCAATTAATGGGCACATCAGAATCACCCCCCCCACATACACACACACACACACACTCCTCACATGTTTGTAAATGTATGTTTACTACATTACTACACTACACTACTATTAGTAAAATTAATAATATGCTAATATGCCTGGAAAATGTTACAAGAAGGACTTTTGAGTTTATCATCCCAATTATATTATATAATTTTCTACATTTATTAATACCAATATGATTGATGACATGGTTTTGACTTTGAATAATTATCTGCAAATACAGCACTCAGTATTACTGAAAATGTGTTCATGTGTATGATGCGTTTGTGGGACGCATTGAGATGAGGGATATATTCTTTGTTTACTATGTGTTTAGTTGATTTGCATGTTTAAAAAATGGGAAAAAATACACATGAACACACACAAGAACACGAAACAGAGATGTGAACTTTCAACATAAGACTGATAAAATATATAAATACATAAAAGATGAACTAAATGTTTAACAATAAACAAGTGCACACAGTCATGACAGGATGAAGATCATGCAAAGATGATAAAGGAAATAAAGAGCAAGAAAGGCAGACATATATATATATATATAGACATGAGAGCCATAAGACATAAGAATGTAAACTTAGACAGTGTTTTACCTTGTAAAGTGAGTCTGATGACTAAATGTGCATCTTTAACAGCACACCAGTAATATCCTCCATCCTCTCCAGTCAGGTGTGATATGAGTAGAGAGAGATTTCCTGGAGAGTGACCATTAAACAGCTGAACTCTGTTTCTGTACTGACCACTCTCACTGGATATCTTGTCCCGTGTGTGTGTGTATCTGTGGTCTTTCTTCCAGCTGAATCCCTCAGGTGTGGTGTGTAGGTCAGTGCAGTAGCAGGGCAGCAGTACTGACCCTCCTGTATATGCAGTGATATCCAGTAGTCGTTCACTGTTCAGCAGAGTGCAGCCTGCAGAAACACACATCAGTAAGATCAGATGTACTTACTTGTAACTAAAGAAAACTTTCATTGTTACACAAAAGGTTTCATATGAATGTTGTTGCTGTTCTTAATATATTTCAGAATTAACTGACTGAAAGAAGCAGAAGTGGTCAATAATAACATGGGAAAAAATCATATTGACTTACATTAAAAGTAAAGAATATTTTTGCCTTCTACTGTACTACCATATTAAAGATTTTTTTTCACAGAAACATACATATATATATATATATATATATATATATATATATATATATAATGCTGTGTTTGAGTATCTTACATGTCTAGTCAAAAATGCAACTTATGTTAAATGTAATTTTTGTCTGGCACATAAATTCAGATTCGATTGACATCAGTGACAGTAAAAACATCACTCACCTTCAGAGACACGAAGCCCAATGAAGAGAAGATAGAAAGTCAGCAACATCCTCACTAGTAAAACAACACTGAGTTCACAGCACACTGACAGCTCCACACCCAGCACTACACTAGCCCTGTATACCACACTGAGTACACAGCTCTCTCAGCAGCTCTTCACTGGAGTCTAACCCACTCTAATGTCCGTGCAGCTCACAGGAGCTGTTTTTAAATCAGCTAGACTGGAACTCTTCTGTCTTTTAGAGATCAGCAGCTTTTTCAGAATCAGAAACTGCATACAGTGACATTGCGGACTCTGAGTCATGAGAACAGTTACTGTTTCCTCATTGTGGTGCAGCATTTCACAATACAAAAGTGGACATGAGAAACAACCAAATAAAGAGAAGTCATACACATCACTTTGTCTGTCTGATATGTTCTCAGTTTAGAGTCATTTGTCTTAGCTTGCTTTCATGTTATTACCTTGACCTGTCATTTACCACTATATCCATTAACAGTCTCCAGTCCTGCAGGTATTCCCAGAGAGCTATTGCACGTATGCTCAACTGGTAGTTCCTCTGCTTTCTTGCAGTCCTCCATACTGCCTCGCACTCCATGATGCAGTTTGTGCAGTCAGATTTATATCTGTTATGGTTTTGATTGTATGTTTGTGTTTTTTTGGGGGAGATCAATCCATTTTTAATGCATTAGGTATTACCTTGTATATACAATAAATAACTAACAAAATAAATAAATAAATAAATAATTAAACACTTGGCCATAAAAAACATGAGAGGAGAACTGGAAGCACTTCGCTTAAGCTCTGACCTTCTGACCTTTTTATGAAATATAGCTGCTGAAAAGGTGACTTAGGAACGATCTTTACCAGACATAGTCTTGATAAACAATGAAACATGAACATCAGGGAGCTGAACTGAGATCTGAACGTGAAGTGTTTCCTTCCACAATGCATTACAGACCACTTTGTGATTTCCATCATACATCTTCTGTCATTCTCTTTAGAAAACGTGTTATATACACAATTGTTGAATAGCATTTTCTCTTGTTTCCTGAAGATGTGGTAAATGTAGTCTTTCATGGACCTTTATCTCTGGACATGGTATTTTCACCAATTTAACCCTCACAACTCCCCAGTCACATAAACAGACTAACAATAATTACGTAAGCAAGGCTAAAGTTGGCTTCTTATTTGTAGCTATGGCCATTGTTATAAAGTTCTGGAAGTACAAGTGGCTAAGGAAAATCTTGACTAGACTACACATTTATTCCTGGCTTACTGTAGTACAACAGCAGTTATCATTCCGTGTTTTTTGCTATACAATGAGCAGCAGCCAGTAATCATGTTAGGGTCTTTGTTTTTAACTGTACAGAGCAGCTGTTTTTAAAGCAATGCTTCAGCAGAGAGCTGATATTAGTGTTGTTTTCAGTAGCTCAGTGGCAACCATAAACATCAGCTAACCTTCCTTCCTTTATCGCTTAGTAACGAGAGACTCATTATGGTGTAGTGATCCACAGTTTTCACTAGAAATTACAAATTCATTGTAAGAGATTGTTGTGCCTTCAAAATCACTCTGGAATTCCATTCTGTGATTTGCATGCTAAGAGATCCATTTTGTATGAGTCTCTAAAGCTGAGCTTGTGCCCATTCACATTAGCTGGATCATGTGGGTTCCTTTCTATACCAAACCTCTCTTGTCACCAACCCTTCCCCTGGAGATATACTTGCCTTTAGAGTTTAGTTCCAAGCTGGATCTAACATGCAAGGGGGCGGCACGGTTGCGCGGTGGGTAGCGCTGTCGCCTCACAGCACGGCCAGGTGACCAGGGTCATTTCTGTGTGGAGTTTGCCTGTTCTCCCCGTGTCTGTGTGGGTTTCCTCCCACAGTCCAAAAACATGCAGTCAGGCCAACTGCACATACTGAAATTGCCCCTAGGTGTGAGTGTGTGTGTGTGTATGTCTGTCTGTCTGCCTGCCCTGTGATGGACTGGTGACCTGTCCAGGGTGTATCCTGCCTTCCGCCCAATGACAGCTGGGATAGGCTCCAGCACCCCACCGCGATCCAGAAGGCTAAGCAGTTTAGATGATGTACGTATGTGTATGTATGAATTCTGCAAGTAAGACTTTATTACAACCATAATAAAAGGCAACGTATAAAAAGATGTGGTCAAGCAACAAAGACTAATACAAAATATATACAAAGTCATTGACAGAGGCTAATATAAAATAAATATAGTATAAAAGGACTTGGCAGAAAAACGGTAATATTGCATAGGAGCATTTTTGCACAAACATGGGTAAAATGATCTACACTTATGATATAAACAGAATTTACAGTCTAGAAATGCTAAAGCATGACAAATGCCAGTAACAACAGGTTCCTCAAGTGTATAGTTCCATAAGCACATTCATGCAACAATTTGGTGAACCACTGTTCAGTTGCCCTGATTAGTTCATTGTTTTGATAGTCAATATGTGATCTACTGACCAAATGTCTACATCAGTAAGTGATCTGCTGGTCTCTGTTGGTCTTCTTCTCTACTGCACACTCACTGTTTCATCTGGATCAGCAGTACGGTAGTGAGCATTGGCCAGAACTGGCACTGATGTAAGCGAACAAAGGGAACAAGATTGAGAAAATAATGAGAAAATATTCATGGTGAGAAAACTGAAAGGTAAAATAATTTGGTAATTTGATTAGCTGTTTATATGTTACCTTTGGTTTTCTTGAAAAGAAACACGAGAGCAAACACAATGTGGAACATGAGTGTGGCCACAACAGCAACGGGGAAGTAGGTCACACCTAAACAATCATAGCACCATGAATCATATTGAGCAATTCTGTTCTACCCTCATGTTAAATAATAAAAAATACTTAACATTGTTTTTGACATGAAAACATGCTTAAGAAGTTTTCTTTTGGGGGTCTCACAGTTACAAAACCTGGTTAAATATGATGGGTTTCTATATATACTGTACTGTGCAAACGTCAGAGGCCACCCTTCATTTATTTTCATTTAAGGACTGGGTGCTCCCTTCCGAGAACAGCAGCAGCTTCTTTGATTGATTTGCAATGTTGCCTCTGCATTATCTTATATTTAATCTTCTCAGAAATATTTAGTGAAAAATGAATACATTAAGGCTTCTTTGGGTTTTACTGAATCAAAAAAATAAAAAAAGAGGAACAGAGTGTTGGGGTATTTGGGACTCCCAGCAATGAGGAAATAAAGACAATCTCACCATAACATTTAATTAATTTCATGTGTGTGATACAAATGTCTTAAAGCATTGCATGAGGGATGGTGGAAAAGAATAACTGATTAATAACTTGAAGAAAAAGCTGAGACTCAATTGACATATTCATCGGTGGTTGGACAAGCTTTATGTAATGCTGGCAAAAATCCCAATGAATCTAACGAGAGGTTCTCAGCATGTTTTGTGGTGAATTACGGCATAATGCTTCTAGTTTAAAATGCCATCTTGCCAAACTGGACTGGACTAGGTTGCTGTAGAAATGGTTTGGGTAAGGTCTGGGTAAAGCTTGAAGGTTTGGATAAGTTTGAATTGACAGTGAACAAAGTGCTCGGTTTACACTTTTGTTGGGTCTGCAAAAACACACTTTTTGAGACATTATATTTCTCAGACTGAAGAATGCAGATAGTATTTCATTACATACCTGCCAGTCTAATGTCTGAGACTGGTGCTGCTTCTGTAACAGGTCCTCTTAGTGAAGTCATCAGAATGTTTGTGGTTGTTTTTGGCAGGACAGTAACTTAAAAAACAGACAGTATCTTTAGGAACAGTTATTTGAAACACTAATGTGAAGAAACTGCTGCTTAATTAGCTATAAAATGAAAATTGTCATCCCATGTTACTTTGGGGTAGTGCTGGGCTGGGTGCCTGTTCAATATAAGAGGGCATTTGCCTGAAACCTATACTGTAGCCGTAGTAACCACAGTCATCTGTGCTTAGTTCTAAAAAGGTTATTAAAGTTAAAGGTAAATGTAAACAACTGTGGTAAATTAGTTACTAATTATATCATTAGTATATATAATATAATAATTATATTTTGACATAATTTGAAAATACCTGTTGCTCTTTACATTGTGTGTAAATTCTCCTGTAAAGATATAGGTATAAGTATAGATATTATTATTATTATTATTATTATTATTATTATTATTTTCTTCTGGTTATGGTGAAGTGAGCTAACTGCTGGTTGTTATTGTCACTAAGGTGATGTCTCTAGGACATAATAATATGTCAGTTTCATACCTCTTACAATGGATTTTTGCACACCCATATCAGATGCATAGTGGTGACACTTGTACACTCCTCCATCCTCTGCAGTCAGATGTGGTATGATTAGAGAGAAATTTCCTGTAGAGACATCATTAACCAGCTGAAATTCACTTCTTACTTTTTTGTTCTTTTGGTCTGCTTCTGCTATGTTGCCTGATATGCCATCTTTATACCATAGGAAACCCCAAGGTTCCTCTGAAAAGTCATCACAGAAGCAAGGCAGCAAGGCTGAGTCTCCTACATGTGCGGTAATTTCCACATATTGATGTCCAACACTGCAGAGTGTAGAAATACCTATAGAAATAAACACACAGAATTTCCTTCATTAATCTTCAGAGTTCTGTGACACATTGAAAAAAAAAATAAAAACATAAAAAATCTTAGCAAGTGTCTCTAATAACTGTGTAGTTATACATTAATGATACACACAACAACAATAGACCTGCTGGTGATGTATTCACTGTTACAAATGGGTTTTAGAATTGCAGCTCATGTAAATACAACTGAAGTATTAACTTAGTATGACACTAGAGTCACAATAATTACACAAGTGTATATATGCACGTGATACAAGTGTATATATACATTATAACTCAAGTTGTAAGCATAGTTTCTCATGCAATTACACAGGAGTAATAGAGTGAATTGCTCTTTGATTACTAATACTCTTTATATATAAATACTCTTTAAATGCATAATAGAATAATTTCAAGACCAAACTTTGGTTAGGTTGCTATGTCACAACAAGTCTTGTAAAACAAAATAGAAAGTTCACACTTTTTCACACTTTTTATGTGTAACTACATAATAGATAATGTGCTGTTGAGTGAATAATAGTATTTTTGGTATGGTAGACTCATGAACAGAGACGTTAACCAGTTCCAATGATTTTTTCAAGGCTTTAGCTGGTACTCTAGGGTTCT